GTTTCTACATTTAGACTTGAATAAAAAGACTTATTGCACTTAGAGGCGCTTCTCTTCTTTTTCTCATCTACAGAAGTTGCTACAGCTTATTTGGAAGCCTTGCCCTCAGTGCCACACGGAATCCTACGCTCTTCATACAGTAGCCACTAATACCACAATCACCCCATACTACTATTTCCCAGGACTTTGCAGTGTTTGCGCTGTTACAACCCTTCCTCATTTTTTCCAAAAAAAAACTGGCCCCTGACCTAGACACATAGACATAATGACACCCCTCTGTACAAGCAACTTTTGTCACCACCCTTGTCAGGTATTTCTCCAAAAATTACACTTGAAAGCAGTTTTGGTGGCAGCTTTCATAATTGTTTTAAATGGGACTCTTGCCTATACAGTCCACTTAATAGGAGCCTGCGGAGAAAGAGAAGATGACCAAAATAACTTTAAATTAACTGAACCACAGGGAGTTTTATAATGTAACTACTCTTAGCATCTCATACACTCCTCCTTCCTTCGGTCTCGATGTGTCAACTGTGTCCAGAGGTCTCCAAAAAAACCAAATTACAGGAAAACAAGAATATCGAAATGTCAAATGAGTACCCCAGTATAAAAAGACTCTGAACTGAGTTTTAATTTAATCCTGATAGAATAACCATTCCGTATTACTCTAGCTGGTGTGCAAATATTGAATTAAATAAACATAGAAAGTGTTCAACCCACAAAGCAGCTGGTCTATTATTTATCTGCCTATTAAAAGTTACAGGTCAAAAATCCAGGCATAGCATAGCATTCAAATTTAGAATAATCTTTGCTTGCACCCAGGGGTGTATGTACCACAAGGCAAACAAGGCACTTGCCTAGAGTGGCATTTTTCAAGGGGGCAGCACCTCCCCTCAGAAGAAGAGATGGAAGAAAGGATACACGCGATGGGAACCAGGTTGGATCTGAGAGAGGCTGCTTGATGGTGGTCATTCTTTATGGGGGCAGATGATTTTTCTGTTGCCTAGGGCAGCACAAAACCTAAATACACCACTGCTTGCACCAGCAACTAATTTATATAAAAACTTTAACACCTTTCCTACCTAGGCAGTTTTTAGTTGACGGTGTTCCCTCTTGTACATTTGATTATGTATATCCTCAATTTCGGTCCAGACAAGACTGCCTTTGCACTTAAAATGTTACTACACCCCAGACCCTGCATTCACTATATCTGGACTCCCACAGTACACACAACATGGAAATGCAATTATTTTAGTAAATATAAACTGCTAAATACCTTTTCTCATCATCAGCATATAGAAGTCTTGTGACTTCTATCAGTGAGCATTGGTTAATCTTATAGGAGGAATTTTCATTCTACTCTGAATGTCCTATGAGACTGCTAGACCCCTGACCCTGTGTATGGACAGCGTTAATGGCCCTGTGCTGATCATATGCACACTCCCGAAGAAAAAAAAAAACCTCTCTAGCTATACACACTAAACTGAGCATGTGCAGAGTGACTAATAGAGCTCTGTACTATCAGCAGATGGATTGGGGACTGTGGAAGAAGGGGTGGATCAGAGAAGACAGGGTCAAACAGCCTTTTTACACAATACAGAAGATTACCCCTTAGGTTCCACAGTGAGTATAACTAGCATGCTTTACTGCATATACAGACTGATTTTACTGTTGTGTGTGTTTAGTAACACTTTGAATGAACTGGTCATTTTGTTTGTTTTATTGTGATCACTTCTTAGCTGTTTTGTTTACATTCACTATTGTTGCCATCCATATGTCTTATTGTACATTTTGTCTTAGTTTAAATGGTGAGTTAAATCTGTGTAATGTGAAAACTGACAATATAACTTTTGTTAAAAACAATAGAAGTACAAGATAATAGTATCAGAAATCAAATGTCTTCAGTTTAATTGTGGACAAATTGTGATAAACTAACTTGTGATTGGTTGCCACGATTTCCTACACATTACTGCTCTTTGCTGTGCCTAATAAAATATTGTCCTTAGTGTAGTTCCTCATATTAAATCCTAAAAGAATCTGAAAAAGTAAGCCTCATCTGTAACCCCTTAAAAAAAAAACAAAAAAAAAATTGCGTTTCTCTAATTTTCTTATAATAAATAAATTCCATTATGTTGTATTATCAAAAAAACTACGTAAATACACCCACTCACAGTACTCCTGGTAACACTGCTTTATTACATATATTACATTTATACCAAAGAAAGTTGGAATATCATTCTTACCATTGTGTGACTGCTCACAGTACGATCACCAACAGGAATGAGTTTAAATACAATTGTTCCTTCAGAATGCACCTGGAAATGGAACACACTATATGTTGCAATTACAGCTTATCCAAAAGACAAACAAAACCTACAATAAAAAGAGTTTAAAGAAAACCAGGGAACAATAGGAATCTGTGCTAATATCTCCATCCCTGAATTGTTATAATAATGCAGCCCTAAATTTCAGAAATTACTTATTATTTACTTGTATTCTCTCCCTTTTATAGTGTCAGGCTGAGCATCAAGCTATAACACATATTATCTATAGCCTGACCTAAATGCTGACAACAGACACTCCAAACACTGTCATATACAAAGGCTTTTTTACCTTGATATAGTGTGGAGTGTTTGTTATAAGCGATGGGTTCAAGCACTGGGCAGGTCAGCCTCTACGGGGGGGGGGGGGGGGGGGGGGGGGGGGGGGGGGGGGGGGGGGGGGGGACTAAATCCCGACACTTAAATGACAGTTCTGCTTTAACAGGTAGAAAATACAGCTAAAAAACGAAACACACACCCATTCCTGAGAGGCCAGGCCATTCTTATAGACTAAACATGTTATTATTGATTATGTTAAATTGTTAAAATACATGTATATAACAAATTAGAATGGAGATATGGGGTATTACAATTGTCTATTCTTGACTGTTTCTCTTTAAGCCAGAGTTCAAAGAAAAACATGCCTTCAAAATTGAGCCTTCATACTTGCTTAGATTTCAATCACCTTTTTTGTTATGCAATAACTGTGTGAATTAAAGAAGTACAGCCAAAGCTCTTTTGGCTGTACTTCTCCTGTGGATGATAAGAGTACAGTTTGTTCTGCATTCTTGTGACCTATTTTCAGCTGACAGGGGGCTAAATTCCACCGTCGGCTGACATCATTGACCTGGTCTAGCCTCAGGAAACATTGCAACCATATGGTCGGGATCTATCCAGGAAGACCATGTGGCCGAGAGCCTGAGCCAGCTCCAGTGAGCGCTGGTGGGCAGAGCAGACAGCGGTGACTGACAGTCAATTGATCTTGCTGAACAGGCCACATTTTGAACCATGTATGGTCAACTTTAGACAGCTGGGTGTTGGTTCTGTAACTCCTTCTCACTTTGTGCTAAATATTCTGGCTATAGTCAGCCTTTAAAAGTGTTGCTAATTCATTGGGAACTGCATTCACACCCGGTCACTAACTAAACTAAAAATGTCACAATGCAAAATTTCTATTTCTGCATGGTACAAAGAGGTTTGAAACTTACCAAAATCTGAATCACTTGTTCTGGTTCCAACCCATCCACAGGAACGCCATTTACTTCCACCAGTTTATCCCCAGCATACAATAAGCCTAGGATTGGGGTATCATTTGTGAAAAAGCAATAAACATTATTATATCTCTATATAATATACATTTTGCTTGACAAGATGTTGCAGGGCTTTTTTTTAGCAATAAAACAACATGTCTTACAGAGGGACTACAATTGTCTTAAAAGCTAACACATAATCAATTAGTTTATACAAAAAATATCACTTCTGCTCAAAATGTGTAGATTATAGGGTATTAATATCATAGCTGTATGTATTCAAATACAAAGATATGTGGATCTAGAAATTCCTTTACATTACTTACCACTTCTATCAGCAAGGCCACCATGGATCACCCTGGCAACAATTATGTCTCCAGTTATTTCATGACGTTTAATTGTAGCTCCCTAAAAAAAAAAGATGTTTTTCATTTACAAACTTGTTAATTTGCCTTCCTCTTGGAGAGTTTAGTAGTGTTACGCTAGTAGTTAGAGGGACAGTTGAGTAAGTTTAAAAAAAAAAAGCTGTGTAGAGGGTCATAGGATGGTGCCATTAGGTAGATTCAGGTAATTATGTAGTGGAGTGTCCATTTACTCACTATGCTTACATGCAGGCGTAGCCCCATTTAACTCCTTTTTTCCATAGCTTTCCTGGGTTCCTGGGCAAGATAAGTTTCCTTTCTTTCCTTTTATACCAGCTCAGAGAAGCCACACCTGATGAGGTAGCTGGGCAACCTGGCTGCAGATCACTTGCCCAGCAGGTGCTGGGCAAGTGGTCTGCAGCCAAGGTATAGGCACTCCACTGTCAGGATCAGTGTGCAGACAGCTCTGCAATAGCTAAATAACAAGCGCTTCTCTAGAAAACCAAGTTACTGTGGGGAGCACCTCCCCAGTTGTTATCTGAATACTCCAGTTCCAATGGGGTAGCTCTAGGTCCTGAGGCCTTGGATTTCTTCAGCTGTTTGCCTGTGTTACTAGAGCTACCCTGGAGTTTACTTAGAGGGATGCTGTTTATGAGGATAAGCAGAAGTTGTTGTTTTTGTGTTCTGAACTGTTTTACTGCAATAGTGATTCTCAGTTAGATTCTCTGTTGTTATAGAGCAGTGATGGCGAACCTTTTTGAGCCCGAGTGCCCAAACTGCAACCCAAAACCAACTTATTTCTTTCAAAGTGCCAACACTGCAATGAAACCTGAATATCGAGCTTTTGGTTTAGAAAAAAACAACTCGTACAGTAGTGCAAACTAATTAACAGTACAGGGATGACCAGAGACTGCGGACAGTACAGGGATGACCAGAGACTGCGGACACGGTACAGGGATGACCAGAGACTGCGGACACGGTACAGGGATGACCAGAGACTGCGGACACGGTACAGGGATGACCAGAGACTGCGGACACGGTACAGGGATGACCAGAGACTGCGGACACGGTACAGGAGATGACCAGAGACTGCGAACACGGTACAGAAGATGACCAGAGACTGCGGACACGGTACAGGAGATGACCAGAGACTGCGGACACGGTACAGGAGATGACCAGAGACTGCGGACACGGTACAGGAGATGACCAGAGACTGCGGACACGGTACAGGAGATGACCAGAGACTGCGGACACAATACAGGGATGACCAGAGACTGCGGACACGGTACAGGGGATGACCAGAGACTGCGGACACAGTACAGGGATGACCAGAGACTGCGGACACGGTACAGGGATGACCAGAGACTGCGGACACGGTACAGGGATGACCAGAGACTGCAGACACGGTACAGGAGATGACCAGAGACTGCGGACACGGTACAGGGATGACCAGAGACTGCGGACACGGTACAGGAGATGACCAGAGACTGCGGACACAGTACAGGAGATGACCAGAGACTGCGGACACAGTACAGGAGATGACCAGAGACTGCGGACACAGTACAGGAGATGACCAGAGACTGCGGACACAGTACAGGAGATGACCAGAGACTGCGGACAGTACAGGGATGACCAGAGACTGCGGACACAGTACAGGGATGACCAGAGACTGCGGACACAGTACAGGGATGACCAGAGACTGCGGATACAGTACAGGGATGACCAGAAACTGCGGACACAGTACAGGGATGACCAGAGACTGCGGACACAGTACAGGGATGACCAGAGACTGCGGACAGTACAGATGACTGCTGACCTTTGGGGAGGTAGGGGGAGCGGGTACCTGAATTTGACAGGTACCCGCTCTTACTTCCGCAGAGTTTTTTTTTTATCTTACCTGTTCCTTTATCCAGCCGCGCGCTGTCTTCCCGGCTTCTGTAGTGTGGGCGCTCGTCGGACAGCCGGATGCCCAGTGCGCATGCGTGTTATAGAAACTATGCTATACAGCCATATGTTCCTGTGTCTTAGACACAGGGACATTGCTGTAAAGAGTCCATGTTTGCGCAGCTTTCATAATCTGTTTTATATTATTCTGCAGTGCATACATGGTCTTTGTCATTCTGACCCTGTTTTGTGTTATTGATACTAACATTGCACCTGTTTTGAAAAAAGGCAATTTACAGCTATTATCTGTCTGATCATTCACATTACACATCCTGATATACCTGGCATCTACAACAAAGATTGGCCATGTCAGAGAATGGTAATGGGAATGGGTTGACATTGGTACCTACGCTAGAGGCAAGGAGTCAACCAAACGCCACTCCAATAATGATCCCCTTATTCTTGCAGGATTGGTGCCACAACAATTTCCCAGGTAGCCGGGGCCAGGTTGGGATTTGGGTGAATGAGCAAAGAGATTCTGGGGCTTGATCTGGTCATATGGAATCCTGCCCATCCAGCAGGCAGAAACTGGCCATTAACCCCATAGAGGGGGAAGCAAGGAGGTTAAACCTGCTGTTTCCTGCAGAAGACAAGGATTCTCTTGCCAAGACAGTGAACCGCTTAGAAGCATTTATATATAGAATTTTTAGCCAAACGGCAACATTAGGTGCCCATAGAGTCCACTTCATCAGCAAAAAGTGAAAGACTGGGCCATGCCACCCATGAGGCCAGTTGAGGTACAATGGGGATGGCACTAAGTCTGGAGTTTCTATACCAGGCACTCTGTCTATAGTGCATGTTCAGCCCTGTGTATGTGCACAGTATCCCATTGATTTGTTGTTTGACTGCAGGTGGGGCTATTGGTTTTTTACATACACTGGACATTTTGGCATCCTAGCCTGCATCTGTCTGCTGAGCCATACAGGTGTTGGTCAGCACCACTGGTTGCTAGGACGCTGGTTCGTTGCTTGTATCATAGCAAATGATGATGTGCAAAACAGCTTCCTATCTCCCAACAACCCATGACACTGTGTGGCCCTGCTGCCAGTTCACCATGGGACTGCCAAGAGTTGGGCCATCACCAGAGAGACTGCCCTAACTTTACACAGAGGAAGCCAGCCATTCAAGGACCAAAGAAGTGGTGTTTAACTGTCCTGTTGTGCATAGAAACTTTGATGACCAAGAGACTGTGTACTTCTTCGATACAAGCTTGCAAGTCACTAATCTGCCAAAACTGTTGTTCCAGGAATACTTTCCTGAGAAGATAAACCTAGGCAAAAAATGGAGCTTCCCATAGAACTAGCCAAGATTACCTGAATAAAAATGGAGCTGTGGGGCAGGACCATGGCCAGAAGGTATAGTGATCACATGCACCTCCAGCGAAGTGGCATCAAGTGATACTGGGCAAGAATATCATCCAAGGAATGAGGGCAGAGATACTGAAGGAGTGCCTTGCTCACTTTGGCTGGCCTTAAGAATCCAGGCAACTACTTCTTGATTTGGAAGCATTGAAGGGCCCTGACCCTTGCTTTGTAAATATCTAGGAAAAAGCTGGCATCATCGAGGTTTCCTTTGGAACATAGATTAGAGTATCACCGAATCAAGAGCTTATACTCCCCATTATTGTTAACTCTCGCCATTGATTCCAAGGCTTCACTGTCATCTAGAAACCCTTTCCCTTAGAAGGTGCTCCATTTTTTGTCGCCAGGACCCTTAAAGTGGTCCAGCAAGCTATGGTACCAGTTAAACTCTTCCAATCCACTTGCATCCTTGGACAGCAGTAGGGGAACTAGCCCTAATCACTGATGTGATTGTGCCCAAGGTGGTAAGAGTGAAAATGACTCAGTGGTTGGCTGCAATAAAGAGAGAGTTGGCATGAGAGCAAATACTATCACTCCTACAACTGACCACTGAGAAACTGACACTCATTCAGTTAGAAGCAGTAAGGCAAGTATTGTATAAGTGGTCAGATGTGTTCTCACATGGGGCCATGACCTGGGTTGAAAAAATCCTATCCGAGAGAGATATTGGAGCAAACCTCCACACCTCTACCAACAAGTCAAGCAGATTCTAGAATAGATGATGCAACAAGGGGTGTCTTGGTAAGGAAAAAGGATGACACCATGGACTATAGGCTTCTGAATGTGTTAACCTGGGGAACGCCTGTCCTCTTCCACAGATTAAGGAATTCTTTGCCACCATAGGACAGGGCAAGTCATCTAAAATGGTATGGTATTTGATCTGGTCTGGTGTTTATAACCAATTGGATGTAAGGTAAATAATTGTACTGGTATCCATTCAATGTTCTGAGCAGTACATTCCACTCCAATAGGCATTAAGTACAGCTGAGCATACATTTTATATACAGTTGTGTTCAAAATAATAGCAGTGTGTTGAAAAAAGTGAATAAAGCTCAAAATCCTTCTAATAGCTTTTATTTCCATACACACAAATGCATTGGGAACACTACACATTCTATTCCAAATCAAAACATGAAGAAAAATATATCAAATTTGTGTTGTTCCTCTAAACAATTTGAAGAAAAGTGAATATTAGACTGTTCAAAAAAATAGCAGTGTTTGTATTCTTCTTTACAAACTCAAACATTCACTATATAAACTGAAAAATGTTTGAAGATTTTGCTTTCCTTTGAATCACTTAATGAATATTTAGTTGTATAACCACTGTTTCTGAGAACTGCTGTACATCTGTGTTGCATGGAGTCAACCAACTTCTGGCACCTGTGAACAGGTATTCCAGCCCAGGATGATTGGACTACATTCCACAGTTCTTCTCTATTTCTTGGTTTTGCCTCAGAAACTGCATTTTTGATGTCATCCCACAAGTTTTCTATTGGATTAAGATCCAGGGATTGGGCTAGCCACTCCATAACGTCAATCTTGTTGGTCTGGAACCAAGATGCGCCACGTTTACTGGTGTGTTTGGGGTTGTTGTCTTGTTGGAACACCCATTTCAAGGGCATTTCCTCTTCAGCATTAGGCAGTATGACCTCTTCAAGTATTCTGATGTATTCAAACTGATCCATGATCCCTGGTATGCGATAAATAGGCCCAACACCGTAGTATGAGAAACATCCCCATATCATGATACTTGTGCAACCATGCTTCACTGTCTTCACAGTGTACTGTGGCTTGAATTCAGTGTTTGGGGATCATCTGACAAACTGTCTCCGGCCACTAGACCCAAAAAGAACAATCTTACTTTCATCAGTCCACAAAATGTTGCGCCATTTCTCTTTAGGCCAGTCAATGTGCTCTTTGGCAAATTGTAACCTCTTCAGCACATGTCTTTTTTTCAACAGTGGGACTTTGCGGGAGCTTCTTGCAGATAGCTTGGCTTCACATAGGTGTCTTCTAATTGTAACAGTACTCACAGGTAACTTTAGACCTTCTTTGATCTTCCTGGAGCTGATTGTTGGCTGAGTCCTTGTCATTTTGGCTATTCTTTTATCCATTCAAATGGTAGTTTTTCGCTTTCTTCCACGTCTTTCAGGTTTTGGTTGCCATTTTAAAGCATTTGCGATCATTTTAGCTGAGCAGCCTATCATTTTCTGCACTTCTTTATATGTTTTCCCCTCTCCAATCAACTTTTTAATCAAGGTACGCTGTTCTTCTGCACAATGTCTGGAACGACCCATTTTCCTCAGAATTTCAGAGAGAAATGCACTGTAACCAGCACGTACAACATTTGCTGCCTTCCTTCCTTAAATAAGGGCAATAATTGCCACCTGTTTTTCAAAGAATGAATGACCTCACTAATAGAACTCCACACTGCTATTATTTTGAACATGCCCCTTTCAATTAGTGATTAAATTACACAGAATCAGCAGCATGCATGTCATGACTGTTGGGTCTGTTGGATTTCTATTACTCTACTATACCTGCTAGTAAATTATTTGCCATGTAGAAATATAATTTCTACCAAAAACAGTGATTGATCAGGTTAGTGATGTCTGACTGCTATTATTTTGAACACAACTGTATATCTGAATAAAGGTTATATTTTAGATTCATCAATTGGCCAGATGGTGTGTAGGGACGTGCACCTTCGTCTGGCATAGATCTCCAAAGCTTACTCCCCAATCCTAAGGTAAAGGCCATACAGGAACAGGGGCCCCCAACAAATGTGGCCAAAGTCAGAGGTTTTTTATTGGCGTTTCATTAATCACAAGAAAAGTTCAGTACAAAGTACAGGCTCAGCACAGCAGGGGCTAATGAAGAGGAAAGAGAGTCTCTCAGTAATCTGGCCTGCACATGCAGCCTGTTTGCTGACTTATTCATATTCTCTGACCACAACATACAGTATGCACTGTGGACAACCCACCTCTGACCACAAGTTTTCAGCCAGGGATATGTCAAGGAGGTGCAAACTAGGGCAGCATTATTGGCCAACTGCTAATGATGGAACCCTGTGATCTCTACTTTTACACCTGAATCAAACTATATATGTTAATAATGCCATGTATACTTTGAGATCTGTTATCATATTTAAGGGTACTTGTGCTTTAAGTCAGTTTCTGCAGTTTATGTTGTTCTATACAATAGGACATATGAGTGTTTTTCTATACCTTGACTATGTTTTAAAGGCTCACATTAACCAACATGATCATCAAAGGTCATAACTATAACACTTTACCAAGGGCTGCTTGTTTTTTTCACCAGGCAAACAATCCGCATAGCCTCCTCATTTTCA